TTGTTCTTTAGGTGCTCAATGAGGAACAGCACGAGCTGGCGCACAAGAACGAGTACAACTTTGACCACCCTGATGCCTTCGACTTTGACCTGTTTGTGGAGACGCTGCGGAAGCTCAAGGAGGGCAAACGCGTCGATGTGCCCATCTACAACTTTGTCACGCACTCTCGTGAAAAGTTTACTGTGAGTTTGAAAAGAACTTGAGAAGGTTGATGACCTTAACATTTTGCTGTTCGCCACAGAAAACAATGTACGGCGCAAATGTGATCATTTGCGACGGCATTCTCATCTTCGCGAACAAGCAGCTGCTGGACATGATGGACATGAAGGTCTTCATTGACACTGACTCGGACATTCGCCTGGCTCGCCGTCTGAAGCGCGACATTCTGGAGCGAGGCCGGGACATGGAGGGCGTCATCAAGCAGTACAACCAGTTTGTCAAGCCCATGTTTGATTTTTACATTCAGCCGTCAATGGTGCACGCGGACATTATCGTGCCTCGAGGCGGCGAGAACAAGGTGGCCATTGATCTGATTGTACAGCACGTGCACACGCAGCTACAGACGAAGGGCTTCAAGTTTAGGTATGCTTAGAGGTAAAACTTGCAAGGTGACCAGTTTTCATCAGTCCAGTGCTTCTTCTTCTGCAGGTCGAAGCTAGTCAAGATCTTCAACGATCAGCCACTGCCCAGCTCAATGCAGATACTACCTCCGACGACGCAGATTCGCGGCATGCACACCTTCATTCGCGACAAGGACATCTCCCGCGATGAGTTCATCTTCTACTCGAAGCGGCTCATGCGACTGCTCATCGAGTACGCCATCTCCTTTCTGCCCTTCAAGGTGAGAGTGCTCACATTAAGCACAGATCATTAAACCTACCAGTTCCTCCTCCTCCTCCTCCTCCTGAAATACAGATGCAAAACGTAGAGACGGTGCCGAGCGTGGTCTTCTCCGGAAAGGTGCTCAACTGCGACAAGATTTGCGGCGTCTCGATTCTCCGCGCGGGCGAGACGATGGAGCAGGCTCTCTGTGACGTCCTCAAGAACGTCCGAATTGGCAAGATACTGATCCAGACGAATCCCGCCACTAATGAACCAGAGGTGAGTTGCAGCAGCAGCAGCAGAGGTAGTACTTACTGCCACTGCTGCTGCATACTAATGACGCTGCCAGAGTGGGCAGTGCTTAATTGAACTAATTACCACTACACACGTTCTGCCACCACCACCACAGCTGTACTACCTGCGCCTGCCGAAGGACATCAAGGACTACAGGGTGATACTGATGGACGCGACGGTGGCCTCCGGTGCGGCCGCCATGATGGCCATTCGCATTCTGCTCGACCACGAGGTGCCCGAGGAGAACATCATGCTATGCTCGCTGCTGATGGCCGTCTCCGGCGTCCACTCCATCGCCTACGCCTTCCCTCGGGTGCTCATGATCACCACCGAGGTGGACCCGGAGGTGAACGACAAGTTCTACATTCTGCCCGGCATCGGTAGGGAGGAGGGTCGTCAGCATGATAGAGCGCACACAGGAGATTCACACGTCGACTACTTTCTTCTTTTCCCACAGGAAACTATGGCGACCGGTACTTTGGAACGGAAAGCTACGACTAGGAGAAGCATGAGAACGGACGAGCCATGTTCAGTTGTACACAATGGCAGCTGGCCACACTGTCGTCGTCGTGTTCTTGTTCTTCTTGACTATCGGACTGATGCTCTTTGAATGCCAGAGCCCTAGCCAAACAAAGTGTCTTCCTTTCTTTTCATTGTTTTGTAACGCGATCAAAGTTGCTGGCAGGCAGGCACTAGCCGTCTCCGGAACCGTACACACACACAAAGAGAGTAAATCGAGGCCAATCGCATTAGCGCCAGAGTTCGGTGTCCGATGGCACAGTGTGTTGAGACCAGGGAGAGAGCGCGGATTCCTGGATCCGGGCGCCAGTGTGGGCGCCAGAGTGAGCGAGTGCTTGGTTTCTTTCGCCTGATGGTTGCGTCATCACGAGTGTGCGCATCGGCGGCGCCCGTCACCAGTGCCTGAGTGAGCTCTGGTGTGCGCTATAGAGACAGTGGAGTGGCCAAGTGAAGCGACTGCCGCTGCTCTCACATGCGCGTGAATCCAGCGTAACCTTAACTTCAGCTGCTTCTCTCCCTTTGCTCTTCTCTCTCTCACTTGGCCAAGTCACATCCAACACCGACAGACAGACAGACACAGTGAGAGAGAGAGAGAGAGCAGTGCCCAGTGCCGCACTCCTTATCACAGCCGCCGCCTTTCTCTGGCCTCCTCCTGGACCCCTAGGCGCTGACGCCCTCCGAAGACCAGCGCCCACCACCACCGAAAATCGTTACCGGCAGAGCAGCAGGCGCCACTGTTCGACCTGTCTGAGGCGTGGATCGAGAAGCCCAAGTGTTTTCATCCAGCCTGTGTTCAGCGTAAGCAGCCAAAAGCATCACTAAAACCGCCACCAACACCAACTCCAGCATGGCCGTACAGATTGATCGATAGGACAGAGCACCAGGGGCCAGCTTGGCGCAGCAACTTCACTAACAACATCCACTGAGCAGCGGGAGGTAGAGGAAAGATAGGTGGACGAGATTGGTGGTGTTCGGAAAAGACCACAACAGTGACGATCACTCGTTTTGACTACACTCGGCTCAACAAAGCTACCAGACTTCTGCTTCGTGCTTAAGGTTGCCAACCCGTTTCAGTCGGTGAACGTCCACTGGTGAGTGAAGTCCTTTCTCCTCCTCCACCTCCTCCTCCTCCTCTTTCAGTTTCCTCAGTCATGTCCGTCTGTCAGTGCTGTAGTTCAGTCACCACCACCACCACCATCAGCAGTCTTGTGATTGCCACACAAGGCTATCTGTGATTGACGGTTCTGATTGATTTCAATTAAAACCGATTACGCGCATCATTCACCAAGATGGATTACCTCCTGATTCCGCATACTCACTCCAGTACTTTCTTTCTTCCATCTAATTCAGGCAGATCTTGTTATTATTGCTGTTGATATTGCTGACGAATTCAGGCCAACGTGCAAGTATGGCACTACCGCACACAACTGCCCTCATAACGCTCTGACACTCTGCTCTTCTGGGTAAGTCTCGGTGTTTATTTTTATTTGCTACCGGCATTACTGCTAATCACCACTCGCACATCGCTTTCCCTCTCACTCACTAACACTCACATTTTAATTGCAGCCATCTGCCTATCGCACCTCTCAACGCCGGCCGACTATTATGTCTTCTCATAAACTCACCAAATCTCATAGTGAAAACCTTAGCAATAACCAAATTCACCTCAATGGTCTCAGTCATAAGCGAAGCTTAACCAAGCAGGAAGAAGTCGACCTCACCCCTGACCATCACAACAGCAAACACCACCCATCAAACGAAGCGGAGCGATCAGTCAAGGCGGTTCACTCCATATCAATTTGCATCAACAACTTTGAAGAGGTACTGTACAAACGCAATCTGTTTATTTACGTTCTTTACTGACAGACATTATTTTGATTTTTTTTGTAGAATTCAGGCGAAGAGAACATGAGACAGGAAATGGTTCGCAACGTCAGTGAGGACACTGAAACCAGTAGCCTGGCCGATGGCGTCAAGGATATTCAAATTGAGGATGACGATTTGCGACAATCTGCGGATACTTCAGCTCTGCCATTGAGTGATCATTGTGATGCAAAAGACAAAAAGGTGCTGATAGGAGCTTCTGAATTCCCGTTTCTAACTCTATTATTTAATTCTGTACAGCGTACAAAGCACTTGGTGAGATGCGAAGCCGTAAGGGAGTCAAGTCTGTCGCCGCCACCACCACCACCGGCGAGCCTTGACGCAAACGAAGTAAATTCAAATAAAATATCCTTTACTACCAATCACTTAACAGTATATAGCAATAACAAAAATGTAACAGTTAGTGTGGCTGCTGTCAGCACCGGGGCACTCCTTCTCGACTAACGGTCTTCTTCCTTCCTGCAGGTTATCAGCAAAAGTTCTCCCCTCAGCAAGAACGGCAGCTCAAACTCGAACAGCGCCGCCTCTTCACCAAGTCTTTCAAGAGGTTTGTCTTACTTCACCGCATCCAACAGACCTTCTTGATCACCCCCGTTTTTCCCGGTTTAGATTCGAGCACGGAGAACACGTTAGAGTGCTCTGGTGCTGAACTGCTGGCCTTTCTAACGGAGTCGTTAAAGAAGAGCCAGAAGGACCGAATGTACATGCTGCGAATTGAACAGGAGATTATTCAGCTGATCAAAGATAGCTCAAGGGAGTCGCATAAGTTCAGCTCGGGCTCCTCGTACAATCGAATGCTGATTCACCGCGTGGCGGCGTACTTTGGCCTGGAGCACAATGTCGACCATACTCACACCTCGGTGATTGTTACCAAAACCAAGAACGCTCATATTCCCGAGCTGAAGTTGAAGGAGCTGATCAAGGACGACGAGTCGACGGACGAGCCGAAGAAGTTGATTCTTAAGCGTGACTCTACCTCGCTGGAGGACTCCTCGGGCAGCAGCTTCGACAAGGACCGAAGCCCCGAGTCGCACCTCAACGGCTCCTTCTCTGACAGCTCGCGCAGTCGGTCGCTGGAGGAACGGGAAGAGAACTACGAGCGAGTGCGTGCTCGCATCTTCAACAACAGCAACCACAGCAGCATCAATGAGGAGCAGAAGGGAACGATGTCACCTGCTCGGTCTGCCTCTGGCACTTCGCCGTCAAAGGCCACCGAGACGACTCCAAAAACCACCACTGGGGCCACAGAGCCAAAGTCGTCTGCTGAAGGAGGAGGAGAAGTGGCCAAATCTGCTGCTGATGCGCCAGCCCCGAAGCTGTCCACTCCCCTTGAAACCGCTACTAGTCTTGAAACTGAAAGTCAACGTGAATGTGATAAACCCAAGGATGCCCTTTTGCCCAATAACTCGGCTTCAGTCAGTGATGCTGTCAGCCCTCCTGCACCTCCAGCAGCATCAGCAACAGCCGCCGGCAGCACTCCGTCAGCTGATGCCGCACCATCAGCAGCCACTTCAGTCAACAACAACAACAACAGCAAGAGCAGCAGCAGCAGCAGTAGTCATGCGAACGAAAATGTAAAGCAGCGATCCGCCACCACCACCAACTCCAACGGCAGATATGACAGGGACAATACTTCGAATCGAGGACGATATGGCAATATGCGAAACAGAGGCTACTCGGAACAGAGTGGTGGCGGTGGTGGCTACCACCGGTACTCGCAGAACCGAAAGATGGACGCTGGAAACCGAGGAGGCGGTGGTGATAACGGCGACTGGAGTCTGAAGCCCAATCTCAACACGAAACTAGCTAGTCAAAACATGCCTTATAACTTTTTCTATCCCCCCGTCGTCGACGGTGGCCCCTATGGACATCGACCCTTTCCGCCGACTCTCAACCACCGTAAGTGTTATGGTTCACACTATGGTCTTGTGTGTCTGTTATTGACCATCCTTTCTTCCCGACAGATGCACCAGTGGCCAACCAGTTTTCCCTTGGCGGCAACCCGTACATGCAGTCTCCGCTGTTGACCAATGAACAGGTAAGTCTGCTCAGTCGCGCGTTTCCGCGATGCAGCTCTCTCGCTCTCTGTTTTGGTGCCAGTCTCGGTGTATATTAACCACCACCCTTCTCTCTAACCCCTCCTCTATCTCCTGCAGCTCTTTCCTTCGCAGGTGAACTATGTGAATCCGCCAATGTTGCCACTTGTCAGTAATAATCAAGCGAATGTGCCTAATTCTATGTTAAATCAAATAAGCTATAGCAATGGCGGAGCTCACTCCTCCACCGCCTCCTTTCTCCCATCTGCTAACAACCTATCTGTAATGACCGCTTTTTCTTTTTGTTCCCTTTGCCTTGCGCAGTCACCTACTCTACCACCACCACTATTACCTGGCACTAATTCTCTCTATTTTTGTTTGCCTATTCTCTAGATGCCAAATAACTACCAGCAGTTTATGCAGTACAGCAGCATGCAGCCTATGTGCGGGCCAAACCCTGGAGTGCCATACTCGCCGACGGGCAGCAATCCACTTCCGCTTCAGAACGCTGCCGCCGCCGCAGCCGCCTACAGCTCACTGATGGGAATGTCGCCCTATCAGCAGGCAGCTGCAGCCTATCACCAACAGCAACAGCACCCGAATCAGCATGCGAATAGCGGGCCACCGATGCCTCTCAACCTGATGACTGGAGGGGGAATACCTCAGCACGCAAACTATAAGTCAGCCAATCTGAACGACTATGAAAAGCAATTGAAGAGTGCTAATGGCGGCGGAAACTACGGCAAAGTTCCGTCAATGCACCAGCATCAGCAGCAGTCGCCGGCACAGGTAGCACAGGCCGCAGCTGCAGCGGCTGCGGTTGCTGCAGCNCTGAAGAGTGCTAATGGCGGCGGCGGAAACTACGGCAAAGTTCCGTCAATGCACCAGCATCAGCAGCAGTCGCCGGCACAGGTAGCACAGGCCGCAGCTGCAGCGGCTGCGGTTGCTGCAGCAGCTCAACTGAACCACCAATATCAGATGGCGCCTGGTGGTCAGTTCTGTGCCCCTCTTCCTCCTCCTCCTGAAGTATTAGACCGCAATGCTCTCGGTCAGGTGCAGTTCAATGTCGGCAATGCCCACATGGGCCCACCGCCACCGGAGCTGATGATGAACAGCCGGGCAGCCCTCCATCAGCACCCTGCTGCTGCTGCAGCTGGTGGTCCCCCATTTGCGCTCAACTACGGCCAGAAGGCCTCTCGATATCCGAATGACGTCCTCCTCGGCAACCCCAACCAGCTGTCCCAGCAGCAGCAGGCCCAGGCCCAGGCGGCCATGTATCTCAGTCACCAGCATCAGTTGCAACAGCAACAGCAGCAACAGCTTCACCACCAGCAGAAGCAGTACTATGGTGGTAGTAGCAAGCCGAACGGAGCTGCTGCTGGCGGCGGTGGAGGTGGGAGTGGCAAGTTTTCAAACAGTGGTGGTCGAGGAGGCAACGGCAGAAGAGGTGGTGGCACTGGCGGCGGTGGTGGTCCGAACTCCAATCGAAAGTACTGATGACCGCGGTGGCAGCAAAAGGGAAAAAGGCCCCCACTCTTGCCTTTGACGTTTTTGTACACCTGGACCGCTGTGTTTGCAGTCGTCTACACTTCCTCATTTTACTCTTCCAGCTCGCCAGAATGAACTCTCGCGCAATACACGCAACTTTGGCGGCAAAGACCGGTGTCCTCTACACTCAGCCAGTCTGTTTTTGTACTTTTATCTATTCATATTCTAATACTAATCTTTGTAACCAATTTTGCAACTCTCTTGTATCATCCTTTTTGAGTATTATTCAATTCGTTTTCCTATTGCTGCTGATTACCCGCTGCGAAGAGTATATTATAAAAGAAACAAAAAATCTTTTGAAAGAAGTTTATTCTTCTATCTTTTCTTTTTGTTTGTCGCCTACTGCCCTTTACTTACTGATGACTGTAGCTTCTTCTTCACAGTCACCACCATCACCACCACTACCATCATCATTACCGTCTTCATCATCATCATCAACATGATCCTCCCGAAGGCCTACTCAGCTGATGCACTCTGAATGAGCGAGCAGACTCTCTCTCCACTCGGCACTAATTGCCGTGTCTGCCTTATAAATGCAGTAGCTTCGGCGGCTGTTTTAGCTTTATCTTCAGTGACCGGCGCGTGCCGCCGCATTCACCTTGATGCGTGATTGTGCACCTTTAGAAGTGAGTCTGTGCCACAGATCGGTGCTGCTTTTTCTACTACTGCTGCCTGAAGAGAGTTGGCGAGAATGGGTTAGAAAAGCTAGAGGTGCCCGGGCAAGTTAAAGAGAGAGAGAGAGGGAAGAGTAGAAAGAGATGCCACCACTGCGGTATCAGCAGTTGATGAAAACGGGGAAGAGAGTGCAGCCGATTTGACGGCCATACCACAGTTGCCGGTCTTCGCGGTCTCACGTACAAGCGACGAGCAGCACAAATGGCACTCGACTGTCGCCCAGTCAGCATCTGCAGAAGTGCTGTCTTATGCTCTTACGGTGACTGTCTGCTTGTATGTCTGAACCAATTCCGAATGCGGATGAGTACTGAAAAAGTGCTGCCTCTGAGGGAGACCTGCAGCACAGCACTGCAGACATTGAAATGTATCGAACGTCATGGCGTGCGAACGTGCCACTTCGCTCCTTCGGCGACGATGCCGAGTGTCGCTCCCCACCGCTCCTCTGCCTTGCCTTGCCGATTTCGCATCCGCTGATGGCTAATTGCCACCACCAGCACCGCACCGAGCACTCTACCCCATAAATCACCGACACTTTGGCCTGCTTTGCAGTCAGTCAGTGGTCACCAGCATCAGCAGCAGCAGCTTTAGCATTTCTCCCCTGATTCGCACCGCTGGCCGAGCCTTTGGCCAGGTGAGCGGCCAGGAGGAACCTGAGTTTGTGTGTGTGCATGTGCCTCACTCGTTCAGTCAATCAGTTTGTCTGTTTGTTAGTTGTCCGAGCAGTACTGCCTGACACGAGCCACATTCGAGTATCACTGGTTTCTTCTTCTGTCCATGGTGATGATGACTACCATCACCACTGCTGCTGCTGCTTTGTCGGCTGATGTCGGTGGAGTTTGGTGGTGGTGGTGGTTACATCACTTCCAGCAACAGCAGCAGCAGCAGCCATCATCCTTGCTTTGTTGCACCACCAGACTGAGAGATGATTCAGAGGCGAGAAAAAGAAAGAAAAGGAGAGAAATTAGCTAGCAGTGAAATCAATCAGCACGCTCAATTCTGATAACAGCGCAGCAAAAATGATAGTGAGTGGGCGACCACTGCCACTGTGTGTGTTTGTGTGGGCAAACTGATGAAATCAAACTCGCTTTTACTTTCTAAAATGATCTTTAAAGTACGTTTTATATCTGCTACCAGTAGCAGTGTGTGCTTATGATCGATGGTGGCCATCGACACTGAGACTGTGCTGTCTCTGTAGTACGAGTTCATAAGTGCTCAATTCTGCAGAAGAGCAGACACTTGAGGACAGAGGAGGATAACTGGTAGTGGTGGTGGTGACGTTTACAGTGGCAGTAAGCGGTTAGGAGATGGCTTCCAAATTAGCTCAAGTAAAAGCACAGATACTGTTCTGCATCCGCAGCAACACTGTGACTCTCTCCGTTTTACTGTCACCGCTGGCTGGCATTCTCAGAGTTCGCTTCATCGTTTCTTCCTGGCTCTCCTTCCTCTTCAGAGTGTCGTCGATGCCAAAGCCCACAAAGATGGCCCGAGACTGGCAAAACGGGGGAATGTGCAAGCCATTCTTAGCCATCACCCCCAGCCAGACTGCCTATCTGCGCGCCAGTGACTATCTGGTCTGCAGTAGTGCACTGCCTCCCCTACCAGTGATGCTTTCGGAGGCATTCTACAGGCATTTGCCAGAGCAGTGTCGTCAGCAGCAGAGCAGTGCCGTTGATGGCACCATTCCATTGAGCACATTCTTCACTCTACTGTCACTCCACTGCACAGCCGAAGCCGCTGCCGCATCATCTACATTATCCTCCCCATCTCTTCATCCTCTTTTCCTCGTTTTCAATCGCTCTGAAGACTCAACAGCGTCATCGTCAGCAGCAGCATGGCGTCTATTCCCGGCGGAGACAACAATAATCCTCATTCGCCTAAATATAGCGTTTGCTGCTGCGATATTCAGTCCGCTGACACTTGTCCAATTGTTCACTTTTCCTCAGCCGAGTCGTCTCAACTGAAAGAAAGAGAGAGAGCGACCGCTTTTCCCGGCAGCCTTTTGCACTGGAATTGAAAGCAGATAAAAGGACATGCAGCAGCTAAGCCTAGCCTAACTTTNCGTCTCAGCGTCATCGTCAGCAGCAGCATGGCGTCTATTCCCGGCGGAGACAACAATAATCCGCATTCGCCTAAATATAGCGTTTGCTGCTGCGATATTCAGTCCGCTGACACTTGTCCAATTGTTCACTTTTCCTCAGCCGAGTCGTCTCAACTGAAAGAAAGAGAGAGAGCGACCGCTTTTCCCGGCAGCCTTTTGCACTGGAATTGAAAGCAGATAAAAGGACATGCAGCAGCTAAGCCTAGCCTAACTTTAGGGCTGCTGGTGCTGAGGTGCTTCTTCAGCAGCACTTCATCGCGGTAAATCTTTCCTGCTTGAGTACTCTAAATATTTTGGCTGTTCAGTGTCACTGTCAGAGGAAAAGGCACAGGCAAGTACTGACTGTCACTCTTTGTCACAACAGAATAAGATGAAGAATGTTCCTGTTCTCTGCAAAAAGTGCAGAGTTAAGCAATGATGCCAAATGCTAATTAGTGGTTGCAACAATGAAGTCAGTTTCCCGGTCGCGACCTGCGACCAATCTGTCAGGAAGTCAGACAAACAAGCAGTCAATCATTCATTTTTGCGTTTTGAGTCAGTGTCAATTTTGTTGGCGTTGTAGCAGTGGATTTTCAGCTATGTACAACTTTGTGCGATTTTACTCTATGACTAACTCTCACAGGCACTGCTACACTGAGCAAATATATGAAAATTGCAGAATAAACATGTCTGTCGGTGTGCACCTCACTTGTGCTCCTGAAACTGGTTAGTCTTTTTTGTTACTTTTTGCCTTCCACTTTTTTCTTTTTTTTATTGACTGCAGTTACCTTTTGTGGTCCAGTGTGTTGTACCGTAATTCACCTTACTCAGTCAGCCAGCAGCAGCCTGCTAATCTCACGCCAACAGCAGACAGGTGAAAGCGCAATAACGCCCTTTTCTGGCAGTCAGTCGTAGGCAGTGTCAGTCAGTCAGTGTGTGTATCAGCGCCCAATTCCGCCACTGCCACTGCTGATGCCGACAGTGGCTGCCAGTGCGCCGCTGGTCCAGGCTTGAGACAGCAAAGGCGAAAAGCCACAATAGCAAGACCGAATAACAGACCAACCAGAAACCAGGCACCAAAAGGAACACTAACACGAGGGGAACCAACATTTATTGCAACTCTCTCTCTCTCTCTCTCTCTCTCTCTCTCTCTCTCTTATTCTGTAATATTCTCCCAATTCTCTCTCTCTCTCTTACTCATTCCCTTTTTCTTTTTCAATAACCTCATTCCAACTTTGCTTTACCGCATTCTTCTTCTTCATTTTGCANCTCTCTCGTTCCTTCTTTCCCTTTCCCGCGACTACAGGGCGCCTTCGACTGAGATCGCCGCCGCCGACTCCGTTGCCGCCGTCGCTGCCTGATCGGTGCCGAGCAGTGGCAGTGACGGCCGCCGCCGCCGCCGCGACCAAACTCGAAGCTAGAAGTTAGCTTTGCCAGCCTGCCTTCCTACTCTCTTCTCATTCCCTTCTGCTCCTTCCTCCTACTCATCGCAACTCTATGCTCTACTCTTCTCGTTTTCTCTCTCTCTCTCTCTCTCACTCCGTTTGCCTGACGGCAGTACTACTGTCAGAGGCCAGCACCAGCACTGGCACTCGTATGCGATCGCCGTCGCCAGTCGCTCTCTTCAGTCTGTTTTCTTCATCATCTGTCGCCGTCGTCGTCGTCGTCTCCGTCTTCGTGGTGGTAGTCGTGGTCGTGTGCTCCAGAGAAGTGTGCATCACCAGCATCAGCATCAGCACCATCAGTAGCAGCTGCAGCAGCCGTAGTCTGTGTGCCCAATCGTCAGTCAGTGTTTCTTCAGTCACTGTTGGCTGTGCATCTACACACAAACATACATTTCCATCACCACCACCACCACTACCATCAGCAGCACACTATCGCACAGCAGCACAAAATTAAAAACACAAACTGACCTCCACAGGATCGTCGACAATCTTCACCCGTTTATCTCCTCGTTATGGTGCATAGCATGGCCGACTCCAAAGCTTCAGGCTTCTCCAAGGTGGTCCAGAAACACTCGCTGCGAGCCAAAGAAAGGGTAAGTAGTAGCAGTGCTATGCGGTTCACATGTTTTACCTACTGTGTGCGTGTGTGTGAGTTATTGTCCACGGAGAATTATCTCTCTGCGCGACGGTGTTCACTGAAGTGCTTCCACCGTGCTGCTGTCACCGTTATCTGCTGGAGTGCATGCCACTGAGTGGTGGTCATTCACTACTTTACCTCTTACCACCGATAAGATGTGCCCTGCCATGTGTACATGTGTTTTGTCATCGGTCTATCCTCATCACCCCCATCACTACCACCATCACCAGCAGCACCTTCTTCAGCAGCAGCATCAGTGATGCATCATCACCAGCAGCAGCAGCAGCTTCCCTTCACCACTTATCAGCTTCTGAATCAGTTTGCCCTATTTCGCTTGTGCTGCACTTGTGTGCCCTCTTCCTCTTATCTCTTTCACTTATCACCAATAGTCGGTTATCAATTAGTTGCCGTTCCATCTCTCTCTTTTAGTTTCCTTCTTTTTCCATATTGATGTTGACGGTGGTTGTGCACACTTGAACTTTTGATTTGTTTTTCTCTGGTTTCAATGCCAAGGAAGTTCATTCTTCAGCAGTGTGTGCGTGTGCATCAATACCAACAAGCTGAGATTGTGTTTGTTGTTGTACTGTTGGCTGTTGGGAATTCTGCCCTCCCTTTTTCCCCACTTCTTTTTCTTTTGCATTGGCAAAACTTGTTTTGTTTACGTCTCAGGAATTTCCATCTGCCCTGTTGATGATCGCTGTTTGCTTCCGCCGCTCATCAGCCTTTGGGTGATGAGATTCTCGGCAGCATCAGCACTGCAATCAGCACTCTTTTATTGCCGTCGTTGATCTGAAAGAAGCTTTTACCGACGCTGGCGATTCCGTTTGTTCTCTTTACTATATCTTTTTTTGCGCTTCACTGACTTCGCTGCGTCGTCGTCGTCTTGGTCGTCGACCGTGTGCTAATTAGGGCTCGTAAATTGCCATTGCACTTTTGTGTTTGTGCGATTTTTTGTGTGTTTTCTTTTCTTCAGACCTAACCACACTTTGGCAAATGTGTGTGTGTATGTTTATTATTTACTCGATAGCTGTTTACTGTCTTATATGGTTGCCATATATGGGTGTACAGCTGCTGCCCGGTTCTAGCTTGGTTCTCTTATTTCCAGTTTGCAATTGTCCCTGTAACCAACCCTACTGGCGAATGGCCATCGATTGCTAAACTCAATCAAATCAAATCATTGATTGCATTTCCATATGACCGTTCCAGTGGTTGTTGTTGTTATTGTTGTTGCTGTACTTGTTCTTGTTTTCCTGGTTGCGGTTGTTGTCGTTCTCATTTGCAGCACTTGAACACACACACGCACATAGTACACTCAGGAGCACTTTGCTTGCTTTCTTGCACCACCATTGCCAATAAGCAAGTGCTTCGGTGTCAATGGCTGTGGTCGCGGCGGTGACACATTCGCCTGGGCGCCAGTGTGTGCCGCAACCAGTCCTGGTTAAAGTCGTAAAAGTAATTGGCGATGGCGATGGTGGCAGATGCCGATCATCGAAAAGTGAGCGGGTGTAATGTGATGCACCACTCGGCCCTTTCATATTGTCTTGCCAGTGTGTGTTGTCATCCCCTTGCTTCCTTCCTCCCTTCTGTCCTGCCACTCGATTAGTGCTCGATTAACCGCTCTCCTACGTGCTAATATTCGCCTAGCACTGCCAAATATAGCCAAATGGCGCCAGCCGACTGTCCTTCTGTGCGCTCAGTATGTGTTTGTCTCAGTCTTTCAGCCCTCTGTCTTGTCTCGTTTGCCTCATGACTTGTGATGCTGTTGATGATGGCGATGTTGGTGAAGTAATTGTGCCCATGTTATGTCAGCATGGTGTGTATGGCAAATGGTATGCTGAGAACGCGTGTGCCGCATCATCATCATCCGTTCGGATGACCGAACTGGCTTCCAATGGTAGTCGCAGTGGTGCAATGTCCCAAATGTGGGCAAAGCGCACTATGGAGTTGGCTAGTCAGCAGTGGCTTGTACGTTCTTTGCTTCTGCTTCTGTTCAGTTTCCCATTCATTGTCTGTGACTCACTCACTGACAATATTACTTTACGCGGCACTTGGCCACCACTTCAGAGTCGCAGCACTCAACAGCAGTAGCAGCAGCAGCACAAGCATCTGCATTTGGAGATTCTGCTGACTGATGTGTGACTCGATAGATCACCTCTGTCTCTGTCTTTGTGTGTATGCCAGGCTGTTCTTGCTATTTAGGTAGCTCTTGTTTTCTTTTTTTTCTTTTTCTTCTTCTTTCTTTCTTCTTGCTCGTTGAAACCTATTGCAGGTATGCCGAACTACAAGCTGTTGAGCAGCAGTCAGTCTGGGTAAAAGCTGAAGGAACTAGAAAGGCTAAGCAACATCAGCAGCAGTTTAGTGCATCTTTTAGCTCTTGAAGAAGAGGGGCAGAGAGAGGGAGATCTGAGAGTTGAGAGATGAAAAGTAATCTGCACTTGGCAGCGAATCTTGCACAACTCGTTTGTTAGCATCGCAATGGGAACAGCAGCGGCAGTGGCAGTGGCAACCGGCGTCGCCGATGCCTCCGTTGCCGGTGAACTTTGCCGCGGCACACTTGGCACATCACCGAACAGACACTTGAAAGCATACACACTCACACGCTCACACACTCACTTCGAGAGACTGTCTGTATTTGAATTTTAGTAAAAGCGAGTTTACTTTTCGGATATTATTGGCCAAAATAGATGCGTTGGTCGTGTGAGTCGGGGAAAAAGTCGGCGGACCCCTGCTGTTGTTGCCAGCCTGGACACGCGGAATGCCGAAGACAGTTAGAGTAGGGTTGCACAAAAATGATGATGATGAGCGTTTGCATCACCGAGCTGGCCCACCATTTTTTAGGTAACTGGAGCTCTCGATTGATGACAGGTGCTGGTGGTCAATAGTAGTAGTTCTGCTCACCACTAATGATGGTGCTATTGGTGTCCATGGCGCCCACCCAACGGTGAAGGCTGCAATGGGCGCCCGTTTCATTCTCCCTTCATCTCCCTCTTTCTTCACCCATTCAAGCGGCCAGTCAGCACCTGCCTGCCATCCATCCGTCCATCTTTTACTATTCGCCTTCAATGGAGCGTGATCCAATTAGCTTTTCACTACCACTGGCTAATCTAATAAACAGCGGACAATGAGGCACTGTGTGTGTGCGAGTGTATGCTGGTGTGTTTGTGTGCACTTCAATTGCTCCTCATCTCTCTCTGCTGTGCATCTCATTGTGGCGCTGATGTTCACTGATGATGCTGCTGCCGCAGCCGCGGTGGCATCACACACTTGTTCTGCACTGAATACACACTCCTGTTCCTGCAAATTGATGGCGCCCGGATGGAGACGGCGGTGGTGGTGGCGTGGGCAGTAGAGCAGTGATGGTCACCCTGATGAACTGCAGCCTGGCAACAACAGCAGCAGCTTTCATTCTCCTGGAGGTCAGTGTTGTGCAATAAAGTGCAAGTGTGCACAGAGTGCCACTGACCGCCTGAGAAGCGAGCGACATGACACTAATGATCCCAAACCAAATTCAGTGCTCCTTCACTGTTTGTCCAATATGGGATATGGCTGCTGTGAAACGTTGATGGCCTTTTTTATTTTAATTGCTGCACGTTGCCGCTTTTGGCTAATCGAAAAACATGGCAGTGATGATGAAGGTGTTTTGTGATGGTGATTGTGATGGTGACTGTACGAGTCCAAAACTAGTTGCTACTGGAGCCAAGTGTCAACTTGTTTTGGCAGTGATGGTGGGTGCACTTTTTTGTGGTTTATAGCAGTGGTGATAACAAATGAATGTTTGTCTGTAATTGTTTAGTCAAGGTTAGTTTACTAAAACCACTTCCTCCCTCTCTTTCTCCCGTGACCAGTTTTTGCAAAACTTTGGCAAGAAGGACCGCACCACCGATGAGCTGTTCGAGATCTATCAGAACAACTTCGCCAAGCAGCAGGCTTCGGCGATGCGCCTGCAGAAAGAGCTGAAGAACTACGCCACCTGCGCTCGCGAGATGCAGGCCGCCTCGAAGTCGCTGATGGAGTGCGTCGCCGACATCTACGAACACGACTGGCCCGGCCAGGACCAGCTGCCGCACAAGGCACAGTCGCTGGAGCTGCTCTGGGGCGACCTCTGCCACAAAATCAACGACCAATGCACAATCCCGCTGAGCACCTACCTCAGTCAGTTCTCGGAGATTCGCGTAAGTTTGAGGGAAAGAGCAAATTTTGTGTCCTTCAATGATCAATGAGCAATTAACTAATCAGCCAATTAATTAACCGAACCCTCACCTGCAGAACAAGATCGACAAGCGCGGTCGGAAGCTGCTGGACTACGACGGCAGTCGGCACAACCTCGAGACGGTGCAGGCGGCCTCGAAGAAGCGTGACGACCTGAAAGTGACGAAGGCGCGCGAGCAGATGGAGGAGAGCCGGCGGCTGTACGAGGTGCTCAACAAGGAGCTGCACGAGGAGCTGCCCGCCCTCTACGACAGTCGGATTCCCTTTTTCGTGAACACCTTCCAGACGATGTTCTCCTCGGAGGCGACCTTTCACGCCGAGTACGCCAAGGTCTACGCCCAGTTCACCGAGCTGATTGAGGTGCTGGCGGCGGAGGCGGCCAAGGGCACCTACCAGACCGACGTCAACCGGTACCTGGCCGGCAATCAGTCGCCCTACGTTCTCAAGGGGGCGGTGCACCTCGACGAGGATGGGCAGCCCATCTCCGGAGGCGTCTACGGAGACGGCTCCAACTCGCCGCTCTCCTCACCGCCCAACAACAGCAGCACACAGCTGAATGCCTCCTCGATCAGCTACAACAGCAATGCCGGTGACAATGACGGCGGTGAGGAGCACTTGCCAGGTGGTGGTGGAGGTGCTGGTAATGGAGAGGCAGGAGATGGAAGCGGTCACCAGCACAACAGACAGAGCTCAGGCTCAAATACGGCCGTCATCACGACGAATGGGGATGGCAACAACAGCAATAGTGCCGCTGCAGGCGCTGGTGATGCTGTGAGTCAATCAAAACTAGTATTTTTTTGTTAAAGCAGTCTAACTAAAATGTTTTCATTTTCAGAACCACAAGAACGCAAGTGAAAAGAAGTCAGACGAGCTGTACGAGATTCCCGTTGGTGCCACTACAAAAGACCTTCCACAGGGGGTGCTCTACAAGGTGGGTGTTCATTGTTTTATTATCATTCAAATACTAAATATTTAACCAATTTTCAGGTAAAAGCTACTTACAAATACGCGGCAGAGGACAATGACGAGCTCAGTTTTGAGAGTGGTGAGATCATTGATGTGGTGCAGTACGAAGATCCAGAAGAGCAAGAAGAAGGTTGGCTAATGGGCATTCGGGAGATTTCAGGCGAAAAGGGCCTTTTTCCTGCAAACTTTACCAGACCGATTTGATGAAAAGAATCAGTGATGACGATGACGATACCATAGTTTTGCAAATACTGCACTCTATCACAATTGACACAGCTATCACACTATCAGTCCCATTCTCTTTCCTCATCTCACCTGGCTCTATTATTTATTTTCAATGACCTTCTCCACCACCACCTCCACTTCCTCCTCCTCCACTTCCTCCTTAACTTAATTTTTCTTTAATAATTGTACACCTTTTTCTCTTCCTTATTTATTTATTGTTATCCTGTATTACAACTACTACTACCACTACCACCATCACTTTTATGTTGACGTTACACGTGATCATTCTCCTCTGGTCTGCTTTGGTTTTGAGGAAGAAAGAGGGGAGACTGAGAAGTGATGGGATCTTCTTTCACTTATTTTCTCTCACTTCTTTTCACTCTATAAAACCACTTTTTACCGGATGGGCCACACACCTACACANCCACACACCTGCATACGCCGTGTTTTACGATGTTTTTCTTTGATTTGATTCTTTGTATTCTGCTGATTCACGCCCTCCACTATCACGCCACCACTACCACCACCACCACAATGCCACACCGCCCGTGATCATCTTTCTCGATCTTTTGCTTATCTTTCTCTTTTTTTTCGTCCTCCTTCACACAACTCAGAGCCACTCAATAAACAGGCAAACAGTTGTCTCTATTTGGCATTTCAATCCTTAGTAGAGCATCCCTCCTTCTCACTCACAATCAGCGACGATTTCTTCAACTACCACTACTACTACTGTATTCTATTCAACAAGTGCCATCTACTTGACTGGACACCTTTTTGTGCTGCAGGAACACTTGCTAAACAAACACCCCCTCACTCACCGACAGGCAGCCACAAGACATACCACTTTTGCACACACACCCACACAAACACGATCGTTCACTCTTGTCACAACAGCAGCGGCAGCATCTTCATCATCTACTACTTCTCTAGCACACTCTTGCTCTTTCTATTCTGCACTTTTGATTGTCTTGATTTTCTATTGATTGCAATTGCATCCTTTCTTTCTTCTCTACTAATAAAGCCATTTTGCTACTTGAGCTCTTTCAATTTGTTTGCTACCTGTCAAATAAAAACACAGCAGCCATTTCGTAATCTTTTCAGCCTGTGAGTTGCGACGGCAGATGGCGACACAGCGCAACAAAGCACTGTGCAAAAAAGTTGCCAATCATTCTCTTTTACACAGTCATTCTGCCTCTCTTGCCAAATCTGCATCAAAACGCTACCTTTGTTTTGCTTTGTTTCGGCATCCCTTTCTCTGGTCCCTCTTGCGATTCGGTGCCCTCCTGAAGATAATTAGTGACACCCAGTAACATCCCTTCCACCCACAAGCATTATGGTCGAGGCCAAGAAGGAGAAACCCACCGTCATTGTGGAGGACGTGGAGATGAAGTCGCCCGGCTCCCCGGAGTCGGTTGTCGTCGATGAGGCCACCAAGAAGGTGGAGCGCGAGAACTTTGTCTTCGAGGAGCTTCGNAATTAGTGACACCCAGTGACATCACTACCATCACCAGCAGCCACCAGCATCATGGTCGAGGCCAAGAAGGAGAAACCCACCGTCATTGTGGAGGACGTGGAGATGAAGTCGCCCGGCTCCCCGGAGTCGGTTGTCGTCGATGAGGCCACCAAGAAGGTGGAACGCGAGAACTTTGTCTTCGAGGAGCTTCGCGAACACGCCCGTCAGATAGAGAAGAGTGTCAACGCGAAGGAGCAGCGTCACATCTTGCGTGTCCTCCGATCGCTGACTGCCACGCGAAAGAACGTCAACGCTCAAATCTTGCGCCGGGTCATCAACAGCTTCTACAACTCGGTGCCGGCTCAGCGAGATGCTCTGCTCGCCTACATCGAAGAGCCCATGGACACGGGCGTCGAGGGCGTGAAGACGCCCAAGTCAAAGATGGCCAATCTGAATCTTCTCCCAGAGCACGATGTTTACTTTCATCTGCTGGTCGTCCTCTACTTGCTTGATCTGAATAATCCCAAGAGCGTAAGTTTTCTGCTGTAAGCTGTTGTCATTTGCATTTGTTTTCATACTTTTTGTTTTTTTATTTTGCCAGGCCATCAACTGCTCGGATGCCTTGATGGCTAAGGTTAGCAAACAGAATCGCCGCACTTTGGATGTTCTGGCTGGCAAAGCCTACTACTATCATATGCGTTGCTATGAGCTCAACGGACAGCTCAGCGAAACCAAAAACTTCTTCCACAGTCGCCTTCGAACTGCTACACTTCGTAATGATTACGAAGGCCAAGCTGTTCTGCTGAATTGCCTTCTCCGAATGTACCTGCACTACAATCTCTACGATCAAGCCTCAAAGCTGGTCTCAAAGTCCACCTTTCCGGAGATTGCTTCCAACAACGAGTGGGCTCGATTTCTGTACTACCTGGGGCGCATCAAGGCCATTCAGCTGGAGTACTCTGAGGCTCGCAAGCATCTGCTTCAGGCTACCCGAAAGGCCCCTCAGCAGTCGGCAATTGGCTTCAAGCAAATTGTCCACAAACTGCTGATCACTGTTGACTTGCTTCTGGGCGACATCCCCGAGCGCTCTATCTTCCGCGATCCCACCTTGCGTCGTCCACTGGCTCCGTACTTTCAACTCACTCAGGCTGTGCGCACTGGCAACTTGCAGCGCTTTAACGAGGCGCTGGAGAAGTTCGGCTCCAAGTTTCAGACCGACCACACCTACACTCTGATTATTCGTCTTCGCCACAACGTCATCAAGACTGCCATTCGCATGATTAACCTCTCCTACTCGCGCATCTACCTGAAGGATATCGCTGAAAAGTTGATGCTCGACAATGTGGAGGACGCCGAGTACATTGTGTCGAAGGCGATTCGCGATGGCGTCATTGAGGCTACCATCGACCACGAGCGAGGTTTCATGCAGTCGAAGGAGACGTCAGACATCTACTGCACCTCGGAGCCACTGGACGCCTTTCACAGTCGCATCTCCTTCTGCCTTGACATTCACAACCAGTCAGTCAAGGCGATGCGCTTTCCGCCTCGCTC